CAACCTCGCCAATTCTAATTAAAGCACCAACAAGAAGTAGGAATGGCAACCCAAAATACACTAAAGGGGGTCTTTGGCTTGGAGGGAAGTTTCTTCCCAATTTTAATTTACTCCTTTACTTTCGGGTTTTTGGTTTTTGGTTTTTGGTTTTTTTTTTTTACATTTTAATATTATAACAAAAGGAGGGTAAAAGTAATACTTTTAATGTTTATTTTCTCAGATAATCAGTAAATTTTTTTTATTACACTTTTTAAAAGGAAAAAATTTTCTCTCAACTTCCCCTATATGAAACTCACTTGATAATTTTTCCACTAGTTTTTTTTAATATCTTTTAGCAAAAGCAAAAAAATTAATAATTCAACAAAATTCTAACAAAATTTTATCACAAAACTTATTAATCTTTTTTCAATTGAAGAAAGGGTTGTTTCTTGATGATGCCATGTGTCCTTAATGGAGATCCAATGGCCACAATTTTTTCATACAATTAGGAATTTAAAAGATAATCAATACTCAAGATTTGGTATGATGCAGTCCACAATAAGGAGAAATTATGGTGCAATGAATTTCTACTACGTAACAGAAACAAAAGGGAGAAGATGAGATTCTACAAAATCAAGGAGTTTGTTGATATGTTGTAGAATTGTTCAGCTTAGTTGAAAAAAATCAACAATGGTTACAACAATCCTGATTCTAGAAGTTTTTAACAACCAAAATTCTGTTTCTAACAACTAAATAACACGTGGTAGAAATCCATTGGCGAGGATTCAAAGCTGTTGAGATTCCTTTGATTTAGTCAAGCACGATAATAAGGGAGTTGGATAAAATCAGGATTAGATTTGATTTATGGTAATCAATTTCAATCATGGAAGCCTGCCCCTCTAAACAATATCAACACTTTAATATGTCTTAGCTTAGTACTCATTTAGTTCATAGATTGCTCCCACAACGACTCTACAACTTTCTTTTTAGTGTAGAAAAGATTTAATTCCCTTAATAGGTTCTTTGTTTTTGTTGTTTTTTGTTAAATTAACTCTAACAATTAAATTTAATATAGTTGGTCTTCTTTTGCCAGCACACTTTGCATTTTTATCAATAATTTACGTTTTTGTCTAGTTGTGTAGCTTTAGTTTTTGCTTTATTAGCAAATTTATGTTTCAACCTCTAGTTGTAATTTTTCTTAAGATTTCAAGTAAAGATCTTAGTTTTATTTTTTTTTTCTATCAGTAGCTAATTCTTTACATTTTTACCAGTTTTGATTTACATTTCTATTAGTGCTCTTAGATTTTAATTTAAGCAGCATTTTAAGATTTCTGTCATGATCTTTAGTTTTATGTCCTTCTATTATTTTAGTCTTAGATCATTATTTACTTCTACCATGGACTCATTCTTTCCTTTTCTTATTTTTATTTATTTTACTTAACAAACTAACTTCATTGTGGCCCTAGATGTGGGAAGTCCTTTATGTCATTCCGAGGCAATTATTTTGAACTTTCATGCAGGAATACACCCAATTTTTACTACAATTGTCTGGTCAAGGTATTATTGGTGCAATTTTTTCATCAAATGGCATTTTTCCTTCAACTTTTAAACAAATTCCTACACTTAGAAGAAGTGAGGATCATCAAAAATCCTTCTTTCTTACTTTGAGCAAAGCAAGTGGCATGCCTGAGCAACTTCAACCACAAGTGGCCAAGAAGAGAGGATTTTGGAGGAAACACAGAATAAAAAAATTATTTTAAAAAAGAGAAAAGAAAAAATTATGATATTTTACTATTTTAAATGTAAGGATTCTTTGTAAATTGTTCAAATATCATTCTAGTTAGTTTGGCTTGAGAGGAGAGGAGTAGAAAGGAGAGGAGTAGAGAGGAGGGGGAGAAATTGTTGTTCCTCAAACGTTCTTCTCCATCTCCACATCATGTTATTATTGTGCTTCGGTCATAAAATCAAATAAAATAATAATTAGCAAACTTATCAAAAAATATCAAGAAGAAAATGTCATCGAAATAGAAGTGAAAAACTTACTTACTTTAAGGCGATTCATGCTTTTGTGAAGTGTAAAACAATCAGTGCAATAGAGATATATATACCATGTCGCCCCCAGAATGCTACAGTTTTATATTTAGACTCTATAAATATACACTATTCATAGAGTCACTTAACTCAAAATACCCTTCTTTACCCAAGAACATTTAGAAGATAAAGTAAGGTAAGAAAAAATAGAAGAATGTAAAGGAACACCATTTTTTGAGCAAATAGACATATTTTATTTATAGGATTCATAGTCTTGTAACTCTCATTTGTAGGTTAATGATAGGAATAAATATGGCAATTATTATGAAATAATGTGCCTTTAAAACAACTCATTTGATCAAGTCTTTAACAGAACAATAAATTCAATTTATAAAATATATTATTTTATGTTTTATTAAAATATTTAAGTTCCAACAATTCCCCCACTATTTTAATAAAAAATAAACCTTTCTTTTGGGTAAAGATGGATTATTATGCATAATAAAGGTAGCTAAGCCTTGAACCTTTACTTAGTGAATCAACAATTCTTAATTCCAAGTCAATAGTGAACTAAATCTTGAACTATGACTCCATTGGAAGTTACAATAATCGTATCACACACATAATGATCCAAATGTTGAGTTTTTCACATGGCTAGTGCATTATGGCCTCACGCATGATCCTAGTTTTCATGGATGATCTAGAAAATTGTCCATCCAACCTTCATAGAAGTGATCTCACTTTGACACCCACATAGGTGAAATTTTTCAAGGGTCGTCTCACAATTAAGACACCCCACTCATTAAACTACAAATTTCATTAAGAATATAGAACTCATCCCTCAGTTTGTTATAGGATAAATGCATCCTCACCTTAGGAATGGAATCGGAAATTTTTTCCATTAAATTTTGATGCATCTTTCAACAACATCTCTATAATTCATTTTTCCCATTTAAAACCCAATTTTCAGAATTCGGGTTGGGTATCCTCATAGGAAGGTTTACATTATTGGGTTTGAATCCCATTCCTCTAGATGAGCACTAGACCTTAGACTATGATCATTTTCCTCCAACTTTTGTTTTTACCAAAGACCTAGTTGGTGGTATAGTGGGTAAAAAGAGATTCAACTCATTCTTTTTCTCACTTTTTCACATCAACCCACATATCTACTAGCTCATAAAATTTACATTCATATTTCTCAAATTCTCAATTCATGGTACCACAATTTTGATATCAAATCGAGCTATTGAACCACCCTTTTCTTTCCATACATGTAGAGACATGTATTTAAGAATTTTGCTGTTAAAAAAAAAATGTATTTAACAATTTTTTAACTCAAACACCATTGTACCTTGCTATACAGTAGGAATGTTCATCACATACCCATTTTCTCAAATGCCTTACTATTTGTTTTCATCATACACATTATACCATAATTGTATAATAAGAATGCATATCACATATATTTTGTTAAGCACCATTATACCTTATTGTATAATAGGTGTGCTATACAAAATTTTGATTAGGTACCATTGGTTTTATCATCAATAATAATACATTGGGACATCACAATCCCCCACATTGGGAGTATTCCAAATATGTGATTTTCACATTTTTCAAATAATTGAGTTTATGGAAAACACTCATTTTCTCACAAGATTTCATAAGAGCATATTAGCTCATCTTACATTTTATCGCCATAAATGGCTCCTCAGTCATGCAAGCTTAAAAAAAAAAAAAATTAACTTATGTTTTCGAAATATATCAACCCAAATTTCAAGTCCATTTTTTCAAAATTATTGTATGGACCAAATTGACTAGCTCTTTCCCCTAGCCTTTTTCAATTTTCAATTTGGTTCTCAAAGTTTTCCCCTTGTTTCATCCAAAAACTCAATAATATGGCGATTAAATTCACAATTTTTTTCCTTCATAGTAATCAGAAATAAATCAAATATTTACTATATGCATTAAGAGCAAATGGCTAGCTTATTAAACTTATAAACAGAGCCCAGTGATCATTTGACAATTATAGCACTATTGGTAATGGCTACCATTACCCTATTAATTAAATAGCACAAATGTAATATATATTTAATACCAATGACTAATAACATGAGGCGCTAATTTTTCACAAGAATTATGCATGCTTATGCTTCATGGTTCAGGCAAGCTATGTAGTGATCGGGTATGCACTAATTTTTTTTTTTTTTTTTAACTCCCTACATGCCATAAACACTAAAGCGAAAATAAATAGTCTACAATTAAAGCATGGCCTAATAATTAGATTAGGATCCAAGACCTCATACCTGTTTTGAGGCCCTAAAACAAATAATATTTTGCTTATACAACATGGCATATGTTTCAATTTTGCTTTGTATATTGAATCGCCTTAAAATTATTGTTTCTCGAACATTCTTCTCCATCTTTACATCATGTTATTGTTGTGCCTCGATTACAAAATCAAATAAAATAATAATTAGTGAACTTATCAAGAAATATCAATAAAAAATTATCATCAAAATAGGCGTGAAAAACTTACTTACTTTAAGACAATTCATGCTTCTATGAAGTGTAGAACGACCGGTGCAACAAAGATATACATAGCATGTCACCCCCAGGATGTTACAGCTTTATAATTGCACTCTATGAATCTACATCATTCATAAAGTCACCTAACTCAAAACACCATTCTTTACCCAAGAATATTTAGAAGATAAAGGTAAGAAAAAATAGAAGAATGTGGAGGAACACCATTTTTTTGAGCAAATAGACATATCCTATTTATAGGACTCATGGTCTTGTAACTTTCATTTATAGGTTAATGATAGGAATAAATTAGTTTATTATTATGAAATAATGTGCCATTAAATAAGACAATTAACCTACAACAATTAATTTGACAAAATTCTTAATATTAAGTTTCAACAGAAATTTCCTCTTTGGTTAACAAAAAAATTGGAGGGGAGGGGGAGGGGGAAGGGGAAGGGTTT